GAGCAGTGCTGCTTCGGCCCCTGCTTCGCAGCCTGCTGAACAGGCCCCACCACAGCAAGCACCGCAACAGCAAGCTCCACAGCAACCGGTGCCTGCTCCGCAACCAGCACCACAACAGGCTCCGGCCCAGTCGGTTTCCAGTGCGGCCGCGGGCGGCGGTATTCCTTCGGAGCCCGCTCCACCACAACAGCCTTCATACGGTCAAGAAACTCCACCTGCGTGGCAACAACAGCGGGCTCCGAAACCTGGACCTGCCCCTTCGCCCCAGAATCCGGCGCAGGGCTATGTGATGCCGGCGGCTCAGCGGGTGATGGCACAGCACAATGTTCCGGCCAATCAAGTTTCGGGCTCCGGGCCCGGCGGTCGGGTGTTGAAGGAAGACGTGCAGCGACATGTTTCACAAGCTCAGCCCGCCCCTTCGGCACCGCCAGCCAGCCAGCAACCGGTTGCTCCACCCCGCCGCGCTCCAGCTCCGGCGCCGGCCCCGATTGAGGCCGATCATCGTGGGCAGCGGCTCGTGCCGATGACGCCGATTCGCCGCTTCATCGCTCAACGTTTGGTCGAGGCTCAACAAACGGCCGCCCTGCTGACCACGTTCAACGAAGTCGACATGAGCGAAGTGATTGCGATGCGGAAAAAGTATCGCGATGACTTCCAGGCGAAGCACGATGTGAAGTTGGGATTCATGTCGTTCTTTGTGAAGGCCACCGTCGATGCCCTGAAGACATACCCGCAGCTCAATGCCCAGGTGCAAGAGCAGAACATTCTGTATCACGACTACTACGACGTCGGCATTGCCGTGGGTAGTGGGAAGGGCCTGGTTGTGCCCGTGCTGCGGAATGCCGAGCGGATGAACTTCGCCGAAGTCGAGATCGCGATCAACGACTTCGCCACGCGAGCCCGCGAAAACCGCATCGATATGGACGAACTTCGCGGCGGTACGTTCACCATCAGCAACGGCGGTGTGTATGGTTCGATGCTTTCGACGCCCATCATCAATCCGCCTCAGAGCGGTATTTTGGGGCTGCACGCCATTCAGGAGCGGCCCATTGCCGTGAATGGAGAAGTGGTGGTTCGCCCGATGATGAACCTGGCGTTGACCTACGATCACCGTATTGTCGATGGTCGCGAGGCGGTCACCTTCCTGCGGCATATCAAGATGGTGATGGAAGACCCGGCCCGCATCTTGTTAGACGTCTAAAGCAAGAAGCCGTCGCCGCATCGTCCGCGTCTACGAATATTCAGCATTCATTTGATTAGGTTTCGGAACGCTTAATGGCCGAACACGAATTCGATCTGGTAGTTATTGGCGGGGGCCCGGGCGGCTACACCGCGGCCATTCGCGCGGCCCAGCTTGGCCTTTCGGTCGCCTGCATCGAACGCGAACCGGATCTCGGCGGCACCTGTCTCCGCGTGGGCTGCATTCCCAGCAAGGCCTTGCTCGAGTCGAGCCATCATTACGAAGCCGTGCAGCACGACTTGGCGGGCCACGGAGTGATGACCTCCGGGTTGCAACTCGACCTGGCCACCATGATGCAGCGAAAACACAAGGCCGTGAAGCAGTTGGCCGGCGGTGTTTCGCACCTGCTGAAGAAAAACAAGATCGCCCGTTACCTCGGGCATGGTCGCATCGACGGGCCCGGCCGGGTTGTGGTTGCTACAAACGAGGGCGATGTGGCGCTCACCGCGCGGACGATTCTCATCGCCACCGGCAGCGAAGTCTCTCCGCTGCGTGGGGTGGAACTCGACGGTGATCGGATTGGTACCAGCACCGAGGCGCTTAGCTACCCCGAGGTTCCTGGTCGGTTAGTCGTGATCGGGGCCGGCGTGATCGGGCTTGAGTTGGGCTCGGTGTGGCGACGGTTGGGCTCGGAGGTTGTGGTGCTGGAGTACCTCGACCGTATCATGCCCGAGATGGATGCCGAACTGGCCGCTGAAGCCCAAAAGATCTTCACTAAGCAGGGCATCATCTTCCAACTAGGCAGCCGAGTTGTGGGTGCACGCACCGAAGGACAGCGGTGCCTGGTCGAATGCGATGGTGCGGAGCCAATCGAAGCCGATCGGGTGTTGCTCTGTGTCGGGCGGCGCCCCTGCATCGATGGGCTGGGGCTGGAGAGCGTTGGCATTCAGCCCGACGAGCGGGGGAGAATCCCGGTGGATGATTCGTTCCGTACCACCGCCGCGGGCATCCTGGCTATCGGCGATTGCATTCGCGGACCGATGCTGGCCCATAAGGCCCAAGAGGAAGGTGTGGCCGCCGTCGAAACGCTCGTCACCGGCTACGGTCACGTCAACTACAACGCCATCCCCAGCGTGGTCTACACCGAACCGGAGATTGCCTCGGTGGGTAAGACCGAAGAAGAGTTGAAGCAACAGGGTGTTCACTACCGCAAGGGCGTGTTCCCCTACATGGCCAACGGCCGCGCCGTGGTGCTGGGTCACACCGAAGGCCGTGTGAAGGTGCTGGCCGACTCCGAAACCGACCGCATCTTAGGCGTCCACATCATCGGCTCCCGCGCGGGCGACCTTATCGCCGAGGCCGCCGTCGCGATCGAATTCGGCGCCAGTTCCGAAGACCTCGGCCGCGCCATTCACGCCCACCCCACCATGGCCGAGATCGTCAAAGAAGCCTCGCTGGCCGTAGACAATCGGGCGACTTATATCTAGTCGGCCGGTAATCAAACGCTGGGAGTGGGGACAACGTCCCGTCGATCGTCCATCTTTACGAAGCGATCGCGAAGGTCAGGACCATAACGACCCAGATGACTTCGAGGAAGTGCCAGTACATGGCGCAGTGGCGCACGCCTTCGTAGGCTTCGTGGTCGTAGCGGCCTTCGAAGGATTTCTTGGTGACCACGCCGAGTGGGATCAGCCCGCCGATGACGTGCACGGCGTGGATGATTACTAGCGACATCACTAGCGAGTAGAGCGCGAAGCCGCGGACTCGGTTCACTTCGTGGGCGGCCAGCAGTTCGACCAGGCTGAACGATTGCACGATGAGGAACGCGAGTGTGAGCAGGCCGGTGATGATGATGTCGCGGCGGAAGGCGGCCTGCTTTTCTTTCCGCACATTCTTGACGGCGCGGTGAAAGGTGAACCCGCTGGCCAGCAGAATGGCGGTGCTGATCCAGAGCCCCACCGGCATTTTCAAGTCGCCCATGGGTGGGCTATTGGGCCCTGAGACGCGGATGATGACAAACGAGGCGATGCCCGCGACGAAGAACATCGTCAGTGCGAGAAGGAACAGGCCCAGCCCAAAGGTGAGCGTCCCGCCTGGCAGGACCATGTTCTTGTAGGGGACACGGATGCTCCCGTGCCGCGATTTGCCAATCCATCGATCCACGATTCAGCGAATCCTCGTCTAGGTGCGTCTATTGGGAAGTCTAGTCCTATCGCTCTCAGGGACCAGGGGACGCTCGCAATAAGCCATTTTCTATCCTCATCTTAGCCGAATTCTGCGGTGCCAGCAGGGTGACACTTTGTCGCGGACAAATGGCATTTCTGCAGGTTTTTCGAATTCTGCGAACTCCCGGCGGACCAGCGCCGTAATAACTGCATGACGAACAGGAGGCTCCCGCGGGCCAAGCGAGAGATCCTTCGAAAGGAGAGGTAAGGATATGAGTTCCAGACAAGACAACGCTTTTATCCCTACGCCGCAGCGAATTCGCGGCATGTGCAACAAGATTCGCGCTAGCTGGACGGAGTCGGAACGGCAACGTCGTTTGGTGACCGCTGAGTGGACCCCGTGGCGAGTGCCCGAGGTGGATCTACCGCATTCGGTCAGTGACCAATTCGAACGAGAATAGTCATCGTTCACCCATCAGCCATACGCTAAGCTGGTATCCATCGCCATTCTTTCTCGGCGTTATTGAAGGAGAAGGCCCGGGCATTCGTTTGCCCGGGCCGACTTCAATTTTTAGGTGGCTTAGCGAACCAGTTGTGGCGGTGCGGTGAATCCTGAAATTCTGATTGTTGATCCGAGCAGTCCTTCTGAGGCCACGATGGCTGTGGCTTCCGAGACCATTCGCCGTGGCGAGTTGGTCGCCTTCCCCACCGAGACCGTGTACGGGCTGGGTGCGAACGCACTCGACGAAAAAGCCGTGTGGAGGATCTTCGCAGCCAAGGGCCGTGTCTCGACGAACCCTTTGATCGTGCATGTGCTCTCGGCCGAAGAGGCACAAGGCGTGGTGAAAGACTGGCCCGAGGTTGCCCAGCAGTTGGCCGACCGCTTTTGGCCGGGCCCGCTGACGATGGTGTTGCCCAAACAAGATTGTGTGCCCGGTGTGGTGACCGGCGGTGGAGGCACGGTCGCTGTGCGAGCCCCGGAACATCCGGTGGCCAGGGCTCTGCTAGAAGCAAGCCAGGTTCCGATTGCGGCCCCCAGTGCGAACCCTTCGAACCGGATTTCGGCCACCACGGCCCAGCATGTGGCTCACGCGATGGGTGATCGGGTGGATTTGATTCTCGATGGTGGGGCAACCACCGGAGGGTTGGAGTCGACAGTGATCGATTTGACTGTGTCTCCGCCGCGGATTCTTCGCAGGGGCCTGGTCACGGCTGAGGAAGTCGAGGAGGTCTTGGGCCAAACGCTGACTCGGGCGGCAATAGTTGCCAAGGCCGATTCGGTGCTTATCTCACCGGGGATGCTTTCTCGCCACTACGCCCCTTCATCTCCGTTGATTGTGGCGCCCGACGATGGACGAGCCATGGTTGATCGGTTCCTGGGTCTGGGGTTTCATGTGGGGTGGATGCACTTCGAGACCGGCGATCTGGACGAACCACTCGGCTCGCGATTCAAAAAAATGCCCAGCGATGTGCGGGCGTATTCATCGCAACTCTACGCGGAGTTGCATCGCATGGACGCCGCGGGCGTGGACCGCATTGTGGTGGCTGCTGTCGATGCAGGGCCCAAGTGGGAAGCGGTGCGCGATCGGCTGATGCGAGCTTCCACACCGGAATAACGCGAGTACGGGCTGACAAGCAGTCCGTGGCACCCAACTCTAAGAACTGTAGCCGTCGGGATGTTCCAGGTGCCATTGCCAGGCAGTCTCGACGATGGAGCGAATGTCGGTGAACTCGGGCTGCCAGCCGAGTTTCTCGCGGGCCCTGCTGGCGTCGGCAATCAACTCGGCGGGGTCGCCTTCCCGGCGGGGACCAAACTCGACGGGGATTTCATGGCCCGTCACTTCGCGGCACGCTTCAACTACTTGCAGCACACTTGCGCCATGCTCGGACCCCAAGTTCATGGCGTTGCATGTTCCTGGCTCAACGGCATCGAGGGCCAGCAGGTGAGCTTCGGCCAGATCTTCAACGTGAATGTAGTCGCGGACGCAGGTGCCGTCTTCGGTGGGATAGTCGTCGCCAAAGATCGTGATCTTGTCGCGTTGCCCCAGAGCGACTTGTAGCACCAGCGGGATGAGATGTGTTTCGGGGGCGTGGTCTTCGCCTAAGTTACCTTCGCGCGAAGCTCCGGACGCGTTGAAGTAGCGGAGTGCGATAGAACCCAGCCCGTAGGCGTGTGCGTAGTCGACCAGGGCGTGCTCGACGACCCGTTTGGTGAAGCCGTAAGGGCTGATGGGGTTTAGGGGCGTGTCTTCGGTGATGGGCACCTTGTCTGGTGTGCCATACACGGCGGTGGTGCTGGAAAAAACCAACCGCGAAACCTCGGCCGCACGGAGGGCGTCGAGCAGGGCCAGCGTGCCGACCACGTTGTTCTGGTAGTACTTAGCCGGCTGAGTGACCGACTCGCCTACATAACAGCAGGCTGCGAAATGGAGCACGGCCTCGATTTTGTGATCGGTTAATACCTTGGTCAGCGTCTTGCGATCGGCCAGTTCACCCTCGATGAGGCGTTCCGGCAAGCAGGCTTCACGGTGACCGGTGGAGAGGTTGTCGTAGATCCAGACATCGTGGCCGGCCGCAGCGATGCGGCGCGCGGCGTGACTTCCAACGTATCCGGCACCTCCGACGACTAAGACATTCACCCGAGGATTGCTCCCTTTGAGACCAAAGGTGTGGCCCATCAAAAAACTTGGCGGACTGGGAACCGGCTTATTACCCGGCACTGCTGGGCAAGCCAGCAGTGGCACCCACGTTTAGGCCTGCCAAATTTTAGGATGTAGCTACTACTTACGAATGTCGTAGCATAGCAGCACATTCTGGTCGCGTAAGTAGAGCTTTCCGTCGGCCACGACGGGATAGGGCCAGCTTGGTTGTTCGCTGCGCGAGGGCTGTTCGAAGCTGCCGAGCAGCCGGAATTCCTCGGGGGTCGCTTCGACGAGGCTGACGGTGCCTTTTTCGCTGCGAACGTAGAGTCTTCCGTCGGCGTAGAGGACCGATCCTTTGCCGCAGCTTCGGTCGCTCCACTGCACGTCGCCGGTTTCAAAGTCGAGGCAGGTGAGCAACCCTGGGTCGGAAGAGCCGTAGATGTAGCCGTCGACGAAGAGCGTGCCGCCGTGGTGGTTCTTCATCTTCTTGGTGAAATACAGCTCGTCGGCCTCAAAGCCAGAGCCTGAGCTTTCAATGGCGACGCAACCGCCGCCGGTTCCATAGCCCGAGGCTGCGAACACCGCATCGTCCACGCAGACGGGTGTCGAGCAGTTGGCCGTTCCGTTTGCGGGCGCGTCGTATCGCCAGAGCAATTCTCCGTCGGCAGCCGCCACCCCGATGACCCCATTGGCGGTGAACTGCACGTATTGGGTTTGGCCGGCCAGTCGGGCGCGAACGATGGACGAATAGCCGGCCCCATCGCTCACGGGCGATTTCCACACGAGTTCGCCATTGGCTTTGTTGAGCGCGACGATCGCCGCATTGTCCCCTCCGGGGGTGCACAATACCCAAGGGCCATCGACCAATACCGATTCGGCGTAACCCCAATTCGGGATCACGCCGCCGAAGTCAGAGACGAGATTCCTTTGCCAGATGATTCTGCCGTCGGTGGCATTCAGGCAAAGCAGGTCGCCATTCAGCCCGAGAGCGTAAACGCGGCTGCCATCGACTGTGGGTGTCGAGCGAGGGCCCGGATACCCTCCCCCGCCATGCCGCACATCGCCGGTTGGGGTTTCCCACAGCAACTCGCCCTCGTTGCTGGGATCGAGCGCGATGACCCATTCCTTACCGTCGTGGTTACCCATGGCGTAGATGGCCAGGTCGGTGACCGAAGGGGTGGAGAAGCCTTCGCCGAGGCCTTCGGCTTGCCATAGCAGTTTGGGGCCACCCTCGGGCCATTCACTTAGCAGGCCTGTTTCGTTGGAGCGACCATTTCGATCGGGGCCCCGCCAGGCTGGCCAATCGGATTCGCTGCGTTCTGCGAACGTGGCGGCCACGAGCAACAGGGGAAGCACGAGTGCCGAAAGCATTTTGAGGTACATCGTCGGTCTCGTAGGCGGGGACGATTTGACTCGCGACATGCGAAATCGCAGGTCGATCGTCTGCTGGCGGGTGTTCCAAACCGGGCGGGCGTTTAGTTAGCGCAGTGTAGCCCGGTCGCGTGGAGAAGACAATTGAGGGCTATCTCCACGGCGGTAATGCATCGAGTTGTAGTGGGTCTCTCCGCATTTGCGGTTAGCGGTTACAATCTCGCGTAGAACAATGAGCATTTGCTGGCGGGAGATGTGTGAGAATGGATTTCGACCCCGACTTTGTACGACTGGGGATCGCCTGGTATGCCGTGTTTGTGGTGTCGACCACATTGCACGAAGCAGGGCATGCGCTGGCTGCGTGGCGTTTGGGCGATTCGACGGCGTACGAGGGAGGCCAGGTAACGCTGAACCCTGCCCCGCATATCGCCCGGGAGCCGGTGGGCATGGTGGCGATTCCGCTACTGTCCTACGCGATGACTGGCTGGATGTTCGGTTTCGCCAGCGCTCCGTATGACCCTTATTGGGCCGAGCGTTATCCACGCCGTGCGGCGCTCATGGCACTGGCAGGACCCGCGGCGAACCTGGGGTTGATGATTCTGGCTGCGATCATCATCCGCATCGGGTTGATAATGGAGGTGTTTCATAGTCCGCAACGGGTGGGATTTACCACGCTCACCGTCGCGTTCGAGGATGGCACCGCGAGCAGTGTGGCGACGCTGGTAAGCATTCTATTCACGCTCAACCTGGTGTTGTTCGTGTTCAATCTGATTCCGGTTCCGCCGCTGGATGGCAGTGGCGCGTTACCGTTGATTCTGCCCGAGCGCGTTGTGCTGCAGTATATGAACGCGCTGCGTCAGCCGGGGTTTGCCATGATGGGGCTGATCTTCGCCTGGGTGCTGATGCGGGAGATCTTCCCCTGGGTGCACCGCTTTGCAATCAACCTGGTGTATCTCGGAGTGGCCAACTACGGCTGAGTCGTTCTGGTTGGTAACTGCTGCGTCCTCCCCAAGAAGTGGCTGTTAAACTTTGGCGATTGTTCCGACGGTGTGCGTTGTAACGCCGAGTTCGGGATATTCCTGCTGTGCAGGTTCTGCGGCGTGGTGGGCCCGCATAATTGCGCCTCTCGATACAGGCCCTTACGAACAACGGGAAGTTGTGTGATTTCCGTGCGAATCGCAAGGACCGGTGCTTGTGCGCACACCGTTGGAATCGCAAAAAAACGTCCAGCCGGAACCGTGAGTCTTCGATGATACCAGTGAGATGGGAACGACTGAAATTCACCACCGCTGGTTCTACCGCTCCGCCTTGGCTTGGCCATTGGTGTGGCTATTACTACTCACCAGCGGGTGCGCCTCTTCCCGATGCGACACTTGTTGCTACCCCTCGGGGCAGCCGAACCCCACGGTTGGACTGGCGGAAGTTGACCGCGGCACCATCACGGTGGATCTCTCTGCAGTCGAACAGTTCGAAGCCTTGGCCCTTCCGCCAACGGAAGAGGAAATCCGCGGTGGCGAAGAGTACCGTTCCTTGGGCCCGGCCGACTGCCAGTGCTTTGCGGTTCAAGCATCGTCGCTAGGTAATCGTTTGGCGGCCGAGCGGAATGCGGTGTGTGCTCAACACTCGGCCAAACCTCATCGCAACGAGCGGGCGACCTGGCTGAAACTGCAGATACTCGGCGAATCGGAAATCGCCGCCCGCGATATGTCGGCAGCCCAGGCACTCGAGGCGTACTATAAGCTGGCCGCCGTAGAACAGGGACGAGACAACTTTGCCAAGAGCCTGGCCGAGTTGAGCGAAGCCCAAAAGAACGTTGCGAAGCTCACCGACCGTGGCTTGCAGGGCATCGCAGACGACGGGTCGCTTGAACGACAACGGTTCGAGCTTTCTTCCCAGCTTGGGCAATTGGAACTCGACCGTCGCGAGTTGAATGGAACCCTGCGAAACAAGCTTGGCGTTCCGGTGCACGAACCGTGGTGGGTGGTGTGGCCAGACACGCCGTTGGCGGTGGATGCGAACCCGATTGATGTGGATGCCGCCGTGGCGATCGCCATGCAATCGCGTTCCGATCTGCGGATGTTGCGAATTGTGCTCTACAACACCGACGAAGAGACAATCGGCGCGGTGCGGGCAGTGCTCGGGCAGATCAATGGATTGCTGGGGCTTGAACCGGCGAGCAGTTGCTGTTGCCTCGCTCAGTTGCTCGGTGGCCTGTGCCACAGTTGTGCGGAAGAGCAGGAAGTCGCCACTCGACGTGCTCAAATTGCCCAAGAGTTAGCCGTACGCGAAGCGGAAGTGGCAGCCGAAGTTCGCCTGGCAGTGATGACGATCGAGACGCGACTCGAACAAGTCATTCTCGCCCGGCAACAACTTGATAGTTGGAACAACCGACTGTCGGCGCTCGAGGCCAAGCGATCGACGGGTGAGTCGACCTTCTTGGAGATATCGCAAGCTAGACTCCAACGCCTCGAGGCGGAGCACAATCTTGTTCGTCAGGTGGTTGCTTGGCATCTGGGCTACGTTCAGCTTAAGAAGGCACAAGGCGTTCTGTCGCAAGAATGCGGGTACGGGGCTCACTCGCATTAGTCCCGCGAGAATTCACCTTGCGGCCACTCTCGACGGGCAGATGTGTGCGAAATGTCCATTTTCGAAGTGCACAATGTAGTGTCTTGCAGCTACAGCCCGCGGCCGCGTTGTCTTAACTCCTGTCTCCGCCGGACTCTTGCACGCCTGTCGACTCGTTAACTTAGACCGTGTTGAGGTGTGCGTTTCCTCCACACTTTACATGTCTGCTGTGTGAGTAGTGTGCCGTATCTTCTTGAGAGGGGCCGCCAAGTGGCGAGAAGAAGCCAACTCAGCTAGAGTAGAGGCCACAAAACGATAGCACTTTTCTGTGGGTTCCAAACCGCTCGGGCAGACGTGCGGGACGTCATGGCTTTAGGCTCGGTCACAATTCGTTATCGCCAACTTCAGCAAGGCGACTTGGCTGCGGCTGAGTGGCTGTGGCGGCGATATGGACCGGGATTGATACGACTGGCCCGGGCACAGTTGGGCGATACGCCGCGTTCGATGTCTGACGAAGAAGACGTAGTGCAGAATGTTTTCTCCGATTTCTATACCGGCGTTGCAGAGGGTCGGTTTGCCCACGTGACTGGCCGCAGCGACTTGTGGGGATTGCTGGCTAAGATCACGTCGCGAAAAGCCGCCAACGAGCGGAAGTATCATACCCGTAAGAAGCGGCATCCGGCGGTTCAGGATCGGCAGGGCGACTCGAAGACGGTTGAAGCATCCACCGCGGTGGCCGACACCGGGCCCTCTCCGGAACTTCAGGCCGAGATGCAGGAGACGCTGGTCCACATGATCGAGTGTCTTGAAGACCCCGTGTTAAAGCAGATTGCAACGTGGGTGCTCGAGGGACATTCCCAAGACGAAATTGCCCGGCGGTTGAATTGTGTCCCCAGGACCGTTCGTCGCAAGCTGCAACTCATTCGCGGAAAATGGCTCGCTGAGTCATATCAATGAGCATTCGCCCGGTCCGCGACTTCGTCGAGCTAAGCGTTCAAGCCGCGCAGAAAGTCGATGCGCTGTGCGACGAATTCGAAAGAAAGCTAAGCGGGGGCGAGCAACCACGGATCGAAGACTTCCTGTCGCAGGTTGACGATCGTTCCAGAGCCCCCCTGCTTCGTGAGCTACTCGCCGTGGAGTGGGACTACGCACTGCAGAACGAAGTGAAGCCCGACCTGGCCGAGTACCAGGCACGTTTCCCGGCAGATGCGGACTTCGTTAAGAAGTTGTACGGGCAGGTGGTGAGCGCTGCCAACAAAGCGGCGGACGAGTCTTCTTCCGACGCGCGAGACGGTTCGCTGTTGGTGCGATGCCCACAGTGTCACGAGCCGTTTCATGTTCCAGGCGGGGTTTCATTGCGATCGCTGTCGTGCCCTGCTTGTTCGACTCCGTTTCGTCTGGTTGGCGGGGCGGCCGATCATGTACCGCCTAATGGGCGACAGACCGTGGGGCACTTCGAGTGGGAACGCCCGCTGGGGGCTGGGCGATTCGGCCGGGTATGGTTAGCTCGCGATACGCACGATGGGCGGCTGGTTGCGATCAAGGTGCCACATCGCGATGCGGTGAATGAAGACGAGGGGCAGCGGTTTCTGAACGAAGCACATGCGGCGGCGCAGATTGATAACCCTTTTGTGGTGTCTGTGTGCGAGATTGGCCGTGATGACGATTTGGTTTACATCGCGTCGGACTTTGTAGACGGGCCTTCTTTGGAAAGCTGGTTAAGCACTGAAAGGCCGTCGATTCGTGAGGCTGCAGAACTTTGCGCGAGAATTGCCGAGGGGCTGGAAGCCGCGCACCAGGCAGGCATCGTTCACCGGGATGTAAAGCCCGGGAATATCATTCTGAATGACGAGGGCGTGCCGCACATTACCGATTTCGGCATGGCCAGCCAATCGGTTCGGGCGTTGGCGGCCGTGGGTGTTACGGCCACCGGCGACTTGTTGGGAACGCCGGCCTATATGTCGCCCGAGCAGGCTCGGGGCGATGCGCACCTGGCCGACGGGCGTAGCGATGTGTACTCGGTGGGAGTCATTCTGTACGAGTTGCTGACCGGGGTGCTTCCTTTTCAAGGCAACATCAGCATGATGCTGCACCAGGTGTTGCACGAGTCGCCGCGCCCGCCGCGGAGGCTGAACGACCGCATTCCGCGCGACCTGGAAGTGATCTGCTTGAAGGCCATGGCGAAGGATCACGCGCGGCGATATGCAACGGCAGGCGAGTTTGCCGACGACCTGCGGCGGTTTCTGGCGGGCGAGAAGATTAAAGCCAAAGCCCCTGGAGTGGCGGAGAAGCTGTGGCAGTGGTGCCGGGGGCCGCAACGGATGGTGGAAGCTGGCGTTTCGTTGTTGATTATGACTGCGCTGCAGATCTTGTTGGCCGGCATGGGTGTGTACTATCAGCTAACCGGCCGACATGGATTGCAAGGCGAGGTGTCAACGAGCATCGCTTTGATGGGGCTAATCCTGATCGTTTATGTGCCGTCGTTGTTCATCGGTTATTACACAATGAAGGCCAAGTTTGCGGCGATCTGGATTGGATTTATTCTCCAGTTCCTGTCGCTTTTGATCGCGATGGGGCATCTGTTCGGCTACATCCACTGGTACGACAAGATGGCCTCGCTTACCGAAGACCGTGACCACTTGCGTCATTGGCTGGTGTTCATTGCGATGCACGGACTGACGACGTTTTATTACACGCTGGCCTTGATGGCCTGGAACGCGCAGCGTCGACGCCGCGGTGGGCGGATGGTCACCTCTGGCTGACGCCCGAAGGTGGTATCAATTCTCTGGCAAAAATTTCAGCGAGCGTTGTTTTGCTTCCGCCGGGAGATCAGCCGCGTCGGTGATCATGTTTAGCACCACATATTTGCCGGTTGCCCAAAGCGGGATTTGATCGGCGTAATGTGGGCTCTCGGGGTTTTCGTTCTGTCCACCGGGATAAACGCCAAGGCTGGTGCTGGGGTCGGCAAAGTCGATGATCATGCGGAACGAGGCCCCTCCACCGACGTGGCCGCCTCCGCTGCCGGGGTTGACGGTGAAGCTGGTGCCGGGAACGGGTCCGCCCATGCGGGCGAGTGAGTCTTCACCGGTCATCGAGCGCACGCGGAGTTGATTGATGTCGCCCCAGCGAAGTTTGGAAACGTCGTCGCCGAAGCGGGATTTCAACTCGGCCGTGGCTCGATTGAAGGCTTCGAGCATGATGTCGTCGCGGGTTTCGACCTGTGGGGTGTCGCGATTATCGAACCAGACCGATGTCGGCTTCTTACGAGTCATGTACTCGAAGACTTCGAGCATCGGCTCGCGATGGTTATTGCCGGTGAAGCCCCAGGAACCGCCACGCTTCTCGATGCCGCGGCTGCTCCATTCATCGTCCCAGGTGAGCTTGCGGTAGTGGTCCATCCACCGCAGCCAGATCATTGGGGCGATGGCGTCGGTCGATGCGACGTAATTCCATTGTTTGAGTGCCTCGGCGGCTTGCTGGGCATAGGGATCTTGAGGGGGCGATGCAGTGAGGGCCTCGCAGAGAATGGGCACATAACGCTCGGCCGCTTTGTCGTGGGCATCGTTTTGAATTTCCGCCATGGTCTCGAGGGTTAGCTCTTCTGCCGCAGAAAGCATGTCGTTGATGCGGCGGATGCGATAGCTGGGGTCCCACATCCATCCGAGATAGTGCGGGTAACCAATCGAAGCCGGGCGCCCATTGGCCGAAGCGACGAAATGTTCGGCGGGGTTCAGCGCCAGGGGCAGTTCATCGCGGGGGATCATGCCCCGCCAGTCGTTGTCGCCGCTGGCACCGTCCATGGGAATGCGTCCCTGACCGGGGAGGCGCAGCGGAAGATCGCCGCAGGAGTGAATGGCGATGTTCCCCTCGGCGTCGCCATAGCAGAGGTTGATGGCCGGAACGGTGATCTTGTCGGCGGCGGCAAGAAATTGTTTCAGGTTCTTCGCGTGGCCCATCTCCCAGAAGCCGATCATCTCGGTTGAACCGCCGAGGCCCGACCATTGCATGGTGATGGTTCGGTCGTCGCGGTTGACAATGGGACCGTGCACGGTGGAGTCGATGTGCAGGGTTTCACTGGGTTCGCCACGAATGGCGATCTCCTCGGTGACGCGTTGTACTGGCTTCCATTCTCCCCGGTGCTTGTACTGCATGGGGTCGTCGGCATGCATGGTTTCGACAAAGTAATCGACTGCATCGGCCTGCATGTTGGTAATGCCCCAGCCGAGATGATCGTTGTGCCCGATGACCACAATCGGCGAGCCTGGGAAGGTGACGCCGACCACATTGTCGTCGCCGACCGAAAGATGGCAGGTGTACCACAGCGAGGGGAGCGAGAAGCCAAGGTGAGGGTCGCTACAAAAGATGGGCTTCCCACTGGCGGTCTTGGTACCGTCGACTGCCCAATTGTTGCTGCCAAAGCTTTCGCCGCGGGTGAGCGAATGGGCAGCTTGCAGCTTGTGCAGAGTAGCTTCGTAGGCGGACGTCGCACCCGGGATGGGTGAGAGAGTTGCCTGCGTTAACTGGGCGCGATCGACCTGAGTTTTGATCGAAGGGACTTCGAAGGGGCGATCTAGTGGCCACAGCGACTCGATGTTCTCGGGCCCGAGTTTTTCCACCATGGTGCCGAACCAGAGATCGTCGTCGGTGCCGGATTGATCCCAACCCATGTATTTGCCGAACACGATGCAGTCGGCCAGGTTCCAATCGCTCGGTTCATAGCCCAGGGCCTGGAACATCATGGGGAGGCCGTCGCTGCCGAGCTCGGCGATGCGGGCGTTCACCCCTTCGCAGTAGGCGGCCAGATCGCTGCGCATTTGGGCGGGGAACTGGTCGGAGTTGATGAGTTCTTCGCAGCCGCGGCGAATGCCCAGCTGGCGGACGAGGATGTCGGAGCCGAGTTCGCCACGGCCCAGCACTTGGGCCGAGGTGCCGGAAGCTTTGCGGCGGAACATGTCCATTTGCCACAGGCGATCGCTGGCGTGGATGTAGCCCAGCGCGCGATAGACGTCGGCCCAGGATTTGCCGTAGATGTGCGGGACTCCAAACTCGTCATAATGAACTTCGACGCTCTGTTCGACTCCGGGGAGTGCGACTTCGTCTGCGACGAGCACAATCGGAACGCAGACCAGAAATGCCACGGCCACATAGAGACGTTTCAGTTGTTCGATCATGGAGGGCTCCGGCACGGGAAGGTCGCGAGGGATGAATGCCTCAATCGTAATCTCGATCGCGGGGCACTTCCACGAGGGCTGGCTGGATCGCAGCTCCACACGATGGGGAGATGAAGTTCGATGAAAGCGATGGTTCTGCCGCGGATTGTTTCGCTTCGCGAGGTCGAGGCTCCCTTGGAACAGGTCGAGCTGGAGACGCCAAAACCCGGGGCGGGTGAGGTGCTGCTCAAAGTTGGAGCCTGTGGGGTTTGCCATACCGAGTTGGACGAGATCGAGGGCCGTACTCCACCGCCGAAGTTGCCCGTGGTGTTGGGGCACGAGATTGTGGGCCGGGTGGTGGAAGTTGGCCCCGGTGTGCGAGACCTGGCGAAAGGCGACCGCGTGGGGGTGGGGTGGATCTATCGATCGACCGGGGAAGAAGATGAGAATCTAAGCCCGCAGTTCGAAGCCACAGGACGCGATGCGGCGGGAGGGGATGCCGAGTACACAACGGTGCCGGAACATTATGCCTACAAGATTCCCGACGCCTTCACCGACGAACAGGCGGCCCCGCTGTTGTGTGCGGGGGCGATCGGTTATCGCTCGCTGAGGCTAACCAACATCAAGGATGGCGATCGATTGGGGCTCACCGGATTTGGTGGGTCGGCGCACTTAGTGCTGCAAATGGCGCGGCACCGCTTTCCGAACTCGCAGGTGTATGTGTTCGCCCGCGATCCACAACAGCGGGAGTTTGCCTTGGAATTGGGAGCCGCGTGGGCGGGCGATACAGACGATGTACCGCCGGAGCGTTTGCAAGCCATCATCGACACCACGCCGGCGTGGAAGCCGGTGGTTGCGGCGCTAGGCGTGTTGTTGCCCGGGGGCCGACTGGTGATCAACGCGATTCGTAAGCAGGAAGAGGACAAGGAGGCCCTGCTGGGGCTGAGCTATCACGAGCACTTGTGGCTGGAACGCGAGATTAAAAGTGTGGCCAACATTACGGGGCGCGACATTCGCGAGTTCCTGCCGCTGGCGGCCGAGATACCGCTCAGGCCGGAGGTGACCACCTATCGGCTCGAAGACGCCAACCGGGCGTTGCTCGAACTGAAGCGAGGCAGCGTTCGCGGGGCGAAGGTGCTGGTGATGGACTGACCGCCGGGACGGGGCTTACAAGTCTTACGACCGGGACCAACTGTCTCGAGTGTGGAGGTGAAGATTCGACGGTCGAAGCTCTGCGCAGCGCTGGGCGTGCTACGGTTTCAGGATGAGTTCCCCGATAGCACCACAAAGGGTAGCGGGGACGCCCACCAAGCTCGCTCACCTGCGACGATCCATTGCACATGTTCTCCCGATCACTCGGAGTATCGATATGAAACGTACAACCTTCCGATCCATGACCATCGTTGCAGGTATTGCCGTAGTGGCGCTTTCGCTGGGGGCCGTGGTGCGGTTGCCCGCGGTGACCGGAGCCCAGCCCGAGGGCGAATCGCTCGACCTGCAGTATGCCAACGCTTACCTCGAACTGGCTAAGGCCGAACTGGCGATCTTCCAAAACGCCAACCGAAACGTGCCGGGTACGGTTTCGGCCGATGAGATCGGCATGCGACAAGAGAATGTCCAGGCCTTCGAGCAACTGGTTCAAGATGTGAAAGACGGTAAGGGCTTCGACCGCATGTCCGTGCTGGTGATGTTGGCCAAGCACGATATCCATCGGGCTCAGTCGGATATTCAACGTGCCCGTATGGTGAACCAGCAGGCTCCCGGCACCTTCGGCGAGGATCGCATCGAGAAGATGCAGGCCCTGGAGGAACTCTCGAAGTTGAACTACGAGACCGGCAAGCAAGCCATGAGTGCCTCGGAAGCCGAGCAACTTCGGTGGCGAGTTTCGGTGCTGGAAGATGAAATGAGCCAGCTTCGCGATCAGGTCGGGCAAATCGGCTCGTCGCGGCGATAGCGTCTACGGGACATGCCTGTCTTCGCAGATGTGCACCGATTGTCTATCATGATGGGCGTCTCCGCAGCCGAAAATGGGGGAGTGAAGCCCCTTCGGTCGGGTGAACCATTGTGACTATCGACACCAGGTATGTACCCATGGATTTTTTGCAGCGGTTAGAACGGGCGGTTGAACGGGGCCAGCGAGCTAGCACGGCCAAGGCCCAGCAGGAAGCCAACCGGCAGCTCAGCGAAGAGGAATGCCGGCGGCTGCACTCGAAGTACCGCATCGAACTTTCCGAGCATATCGAGAAGTGCCTGAAGCAACTGCCGAACTTTTTCCCAGGGTTCGAGCTGAGCACACTGGTTAGCGATATCGGCTGGGGGGCGAAGGTGTCTCGGGACGACATGGGGACTGACGCCGAGGGGAAGCGCACCAATTTCTACAGCCGGCTGGAAATGGGGATTCGCCCGTTTTCTTCTTCGCATGTTTTGGAACTGGTGGCCAAGGGCACGATCCGCAACAAGGAAGTTTTCAACCGCCCCCACTTCCAGCGCCTGCAAGAGGCCGACCCCGACTCGTTCGCCGAGTTGATCGACCTGTGGGTGTTGGAATACGCCGAGATGTACGCTCGCTCGGACTGAGTCGGGTTGGTTACTCGGCCGCCGGAGCTTGAGCCAGTTCTTTTAGCGCGTCGAGCGTTGAAAGAATATCTTCCAGCGAGACTTCGCGCCAGCCGTCCAACTTGTGACGCACGATGGCCAGCTTGAAGTCTTCGAATGCCTCGAGCAGGTCTGCGGGCAGTTCTCCCAAGTTTGCCAGTGGGGCAACCGCTTGCGCGGCGGCGACCACTTCGGGCGCCGGTTCTTCGGCCAGGGGTGAAGGGCTCGCTTCGCCGGAGAACTCCTCGGAAGACTCACGGGCGGTGGAGTCGGCACTCTCAATCGGATCGCCCTGGTCGGCCACGACGATGGGGGCCGGTTCACCGTCGTTCTTGCCTGCGAAGTCTTCGTCGTATTCACCGGTGATGATGTCTTCGTCACGCGGCTTCTTCTCGGGCGGGGCACCGTGGGCTTCCCAGCGTTGGCTGCGCATCTCGGAGACCGACCAGCCGTTTTGGGCAACGCCTTCGAGCCACATTTCGGAATCGTCCCATTCCAAAGCGGCGTAGAAGTGGCTCCAGTACACGCCCTCGAAGTCTTTGGCTTGGTGCCCGAAGCGTTCCCACACGCGACGCAATCGACCGACGTGTTGACGGCTGAGGTTTCCGCCTACGTGGGCGCACCATGCTTCGTCGGAATACTCCTGCGGTGAAGCCCCGGAGGCAACGAGCGACTCGCGCCATTCGAGAATGATCCGGCCCTTCTCCCAGTTGGTGGTGCTCACCAAATGGTTCCAGCGTTTCACGAAGGGCAAAGAGGTTTCATCCGCTGTCGCATCATGCGTCAGGGGGGCGTCGTCCATCGCAGAGTCGTCCTTCTACAAGTGCAGCGTGTCGAGATGGTTGGCGTGGGATTGCGGAAACGGCAGGCCGGATGAAACCGGGCCAGTACAAGAACCGTGGAGGAGGTTTCGCCGTTTGCCCACTGGTGAGTTGCCGCAGGGCTAAGCCGCCCGTGCTAGCAAGAAGAGAATTCTAGGGCAGGTAGATGGGCGATTCCAGCAGGAAAGTTCAGATGTCCACTCTCGCCCCATTTTCTCGCGGGATGAAGGTGCTCTGCAGCGGTATCAACATCGTGGAAAAGTTGTCGACGGAGTGAAAGGGCCGACCGTGGGGAAGCGCCATTTCGCGATGTAATGTGCTGTCGAGCGCCGCGAAGAAGCACCTCCGGTTGCTCTTAGGAAGGTGCGTCTTCGCTGCGCTCGACAGCAACCTACGGTTTTGATGGTTTCCCAGTCGTTACAATCGCTTACGACGTGGGGGCTAACTCTTCGGCGTTGAAGCCGCACTTGTTGTGGGCGCCGTCGCAGAATGGTTTGTTCGCCGAATGGCCGCAACGACACAATGCGATCAGCGGTTTGGCCGGGTTCGTGGCGAAGGCATTTCCGTTTTGATCGACAATCTCTACGGAACCTTCAACGAGAAACGGACCGTTGGGACGGCATTGGATCTTCACGTCGGCCATGAAAGCTGCTCCTTGCGGCGGCTGGGAACGGATTAGCGAACTGATAAGTGTCGCTGTAGTTTACCCGGGGAAATCGAGATTTCCAGTCGCGCGGGTGAGAGGGAGTCACTCACTCGTCTTCGGCGCCCGGCTCTTCGCTGGGGACGGGTTCTTCTGTCGTGTCTGGCTCGGAGTCGGGGGTGATGACTTTCGCAGAAGGAACGACTCTTTGGATAAACAGCGCGCGGAACATCTGCTCATTGGTGGGTGAACGTTCGGGGCCGGCTTTTCCCTCGGCGTCTGTCTCACGGTCGGCCGCCGAGATCTCAGCCAGTTCTTCTTCGCTGGGTGATGCACCGCCTGTATCCGAAGGTTCGGCTTGCTCTTTGGATTGCGATTTCTTGCCAGCGGATAAAGCATCGGAGAGTTGAGGGAGTTGGAAACGCTGAGCGACTCCTTCGAGGCCAGTTGGTGGTGATACCGACTGTTCTGCTCCGCCCAGCATTGTTGGCGCGGCGACTTGCCCCATTTCTGCGGGCATGGCACGTTGCGCAGCCATGTTTGAAGTGTCGTCGTTATCGGGTTGCTGACCCGCAAAAGCGGGATTGCCGGGGACCATGATGTTGGAGAAGTAAACCGGTTGGTCAGCGATATCGGTTAATACCGATTCCAACTGCGATTGGGTCAGTTCGACATACACGACGTCGATGGGTGCAACGGCTGGGGTAATTTCGGTTTCCACAGCTTCGTCGGCTGGAGTGCCTCCACCGCCGAACGCATTGGAGGTGATCTTGATACCGTTGCGTTGCAACGTGGCGTCCAGGGTCTTGCTGCGGGCCGCGTCGGGGGTGACATCGAGTTGAATCGAGAATAATGGAGCTGCGGCGTTCGATTGATACTGCCGCTGCTCCTCGAGGATTTCTTTGCTACGAGCCGCATTGAAGGTTCGCGTTTCCAAGCCTGGCGCAACAGCCGAGCGAGTCGTTTCCATTTCGAGGCCAAAGCCGACCCCGTTTGTGGGGGCGGGTGCCTCCGGGGGAATCGCTTCGGTGGTGGCTTCCATCCGCACGCCGGAATCGCCCTTGCGGGAGAGTGTGGCGCGCCGCTCTGTAGCAGTGGGATCGGTTAGCGACGAACCGTCCTTTGCGGAATCGGCTGAAGGTGCCGGACCGATCGAAGAAGCGGGCGCTTCGAGGGCTCGCTCGTCGCGGGCGATGTTCCCCGAGGGGCTTTGTTCGCCCAACTGTTCTGGCTGCAGAATCATGAGCATCAACGCGGCGGCGATGGCCAGGGAGGCGAACGCCAACGGGCGGATGATTCTCTGCCGCCAATCGCTTTGGCCGTCGCGGCGGATATCGATCTTGTTTTCACCGCGGGATGTTTGCGGGCTAGCCGCGGGGGCAACGCCATCACTCTGGGAATTGCCGGCAAGCACCGAGCGTTCGGCCATCTGCATGACTTGCTTACTGAAGTCTTGCCCCAAGCTTTGTCGCGGCAGCGATTGGACGGCTGTGCGGAGAGACTTGAGTTCATCGAGGAGTTGCCGGCTGGCAGGACTCTCCTCCAATATGCGTTCGACCTCGGCGCGCTCTTCCGGCGCTAGCTCGTTGTCGAGGTAGGCGGAAAGCAGTTCGTCTTGAGGTATGTTGTTCATGCTTTGACTATCGTCCTGAGGGCCGGCCCGACTGTGTGGCGTCCCCCTTCTCTGCAAATCTACTTCATCCCGTAGATAGTGGTTGTTGGCTTAGTCCTGTAGCTCGGTCTGCAGCATGTCTTTGAGTTGGTCGCGGAGTTCCATTCGTGCCCGGTGTAGGCGGCTGCGGACGGTACCCACGGGCAGGTCTAGTATTTCTGATATCTCGTCGTACGAGCGGCCGTCGATCTCGCGGAGCACGAGCACTTGGCGGTGGTCGTCGCCCAAGCGATCGATGGCGGCTCGGATTTGTGCGATTTGCTCGTCTTTCTCCATCGGGCTTTCGGGAGGGGCTTGCGGATCGATTGGATCGAGCCCGGTCGACTCTCGGGCTTGCTCGACCGAAACCGTGGGTTTCTTTCGTCGCAAGCGGCTCATCGCCATGTTGAAGGCAATGCGGTACAGCCAGGTGTAAAACGCGGCCGACTGCTGAAAGGTCTCCAACTTGACGAAGGCTTGAACGAACGCGTCTTGCACCACGTCGCGGGCATCTTCGCTAGAGCCAACGACGTGAAGCATGGTGTTGTAGAGCCGGTCCTGGTATCGCTGGACCAATTCCCCAAATGCCGCGGACTGGCCCGACAAAGCATCGGCGATCAATTGGGAATCGTCCTTCACGATGAACCGACTACCATCACAGGGTTTGACGCAGGGCAGCGGAGGAAAGTTCCGCGGGATTTTGCAGGATCTGGGGGGATTTGACTGTCTCTTCAATCATCCCCATCGGGGTGTGTTATGTCAAACTCTTATGTGCAATGTACTTGCGCAGGCCAGAGGGATTCAGGACCGGATTGCCACCCGGGGTGATTTGGGCGGTTATGATGGCGGAACTGCCTCCGGCTGCCTGTTGCGAGATGTAGTGCGAGGCCGTTTCACTCCGATCGAGGACCTTCAGGAATGCCGCACCAGGAACGAAGAACTGATACCCCGCAGGTAAACGAAGGATTGTCGGGACGAATCACCCGACGAAACGTGCTGCGAGGAGGGGCCGCCGCGGGGCTGGCAGCGTTGGGCGTGAATTGGTTGCGGGGAAGTGATGCACATGCTGGAGAGGATGGCAGCCCGATGGATCGAGATACTACGGCCGAAGATAAGCGTTCTGGCTACATCGACGCTCACGTGCATGTCTGGACGCCAGACACGGATCGCTATCCGCTGGCCGCGGGTTTTCGTCGCGAACAGATGCAGCCGCCGAGTTTTGAGCCGGACGAGCTGCTGCGACACGCTAAGCCGTGTGGGGTGGACCGGATTGTGCTGATCCAGATGAGCTTCTACGGCTTCGACAACAGCTACATGCTCGACACGATGAAGAAGTATCCCGGCGTGTTCTCGGGTGTGGCAGTGATCGACGACGGGGCCGACGATCCCGCAAGTGAGATGCGGCGGTTGAAGAGTGCCGGCGTGCGGGGCTTTCGCATCTACCCTCGGAACAAGCCGGTCGATCATTGGCTCGATGGCCCGGGTATGCAGGCCATGTGGAAATGTGGGGCGGCCGAGAACCTGGCAATGTGCCACCTGGTGAACCCCGGCGAGTTGCTGGCGATCGATCGCATGTGCGAGAAGTATCCCGACACTCCGGTGGTGGTCGACCACTATGCAAGAATTGGGATCGATGGGCAGATTCACGAGGAGGATGTGAAAAACCTGCTTCGGTTGGCGCGGCATAAGAACACACACGTCAAACTGTCGGCCTTCTACGCTTTAGGTAAGAAAGAGCCGCCTTATACCGATATGCTCCCGCTGACGCGGCAGTTGGTGGATGCCTACGGTCCGCAGCGATTGATGTGGGCGACCGATTGCCCCTTCCAAGTGGCCGGCGATCAGACGTATGAGCAGTCGCTGGCGGTGATTCGGGATCATTTGGAAGGTGTTTCCGAGAGCGATCGGGAGTGGCTACTGCGGGGGACAGCGGAGAAGGTGTTCTACTACTAACTTGGCTACATTTGCCCAGCGACTGGCAATTTTCCTCTGGCAGATGGTACGATAACGGCTCACCTGCAACCGTCCTTCCGATGCGTGAGGTGCCTCGCGCGATGCTTCGAGTTCTTGGATCACAACGTAAGCTGTGCGGCGGATTCTCGCGCCGAGACTTGCTGCGAGTTGGCAGCCTGGGGCTGGCCGGGCTGTCGTTGCCCGACATCTTTAAGCTGCAGGCCGACGCAGCGACCGGGGTCACGCAGCATTCGCAATCGTTCGGACGGGCGAAGTCGCTGATCCTGCTGCATCTGTATGGTTCTCCCAGTCAGTTGGAATGGGCCGACATGAAGCCGGATGCTCCGGTGGAGATCCGCGGGGAGTTCGGCGGCATTCCTTCGACGCTGCCCGGCTGCGATGTGTGCGAGCTGCTGCCGAACCTGGCCAAGGTGATGGATCGCACGACGGTGATCCGCTCGATGACGCACGAGCACCCAATCCATGGCGTGGCCTACGCTCTGACGGGCGTTCCATCGATCGATGTGGCGATGGAGCTTAGCCCTCAAGATGCGCGACACTGGCCTTACTTCGGCTCGGTGGTCGATTACATCGATGCGCGGCAGCGATCAACGCCGACGGAAGTTCCGCGGAACATCGCCCTGCCCTTCCCCATGAGTAGCCGGCGGATTGGTGAGGTAAAAAGAGCGGGACCTTATGCGGCTTTCCTGGGAAGCCAGTACAACCCGGTGTGGACCGATTATGTCGGGACGGCGACGCGGGGGATTCATAAGGAACTCGGGGAACTGACGTTCGACGACAACGATCCTTACATCGGGCTGAGCCCCGACAGTTACTTTGTTGTTCCGTCGGCAACCGCATTGGCCGATGGGATAACTGTCGATCGACTCGACGGACGACGCTCGTTGTTGACGCAGCTTGATGACGAGCTGAATAAGGTGCAGCGGAGCGACTCACTGTCGCAGTTGGACCGCTATCAGAACATGGCGTTCTCGCTGTTGAAGTCTGATGCGATGCGCAGTGCACTTGACCTAAGGAAAGAAGATACGTCGATCCGCGATCTTTACGGTGACACGTTGTTTGGTCAGGCGTGTCTATCAGCGCGGCGGCTGGTCGAAGCGGGCGGGCGGGTGATCTCGGTGTTCTGGGACGAGTTCGGCCTGGCGGGGCACGCCTGGGATACGCACTACAATCACTTCGAGCGGATGAAGAAAGCCCTTTGCCCGGGGCTCGACATGGCCTGGTACGGTTTGATTACCGACCTGGATCGCCGGGGGCTGCTCGATGAGACTTTAGTGGTTTGCACCAGCGAGCATGGACGTACTCCCCGCGTGAGCGGCAACGCTGGTCGCGATCACTGGTCACGGGTGTACACCACGATGGTGGCCGGAGCCGGCGTGAAACGCGGATCTGTGCTGGGGGCCTCGGACAAAATCGGCGGCGATGTGGTCGACCGTCCCGTGAGCCCAAAAGATCTCCTGGCAACGATGTACCATTTGTTGGGCATCGATCACCGCACGATCATCCACGACTCTCTCGATCGACCATTGCCGTTGGTCGATGGGGAAGTGATTGAAGAGATCCTGGCGTAGGCAGTGCTACGTCGATTGATCGGGGGCCTGAACAGCGCTGCTGACCTTCTGTAGGGAACGCCCTCTGTGGCGTTCCGTGAATTGCCGTTTCGCTCGGAACGCCACAGAGGGCGTTCCCTACAGGGTGTGGTGGTGCCAACCGGTGGGTTGGAGGCGAGCGACGTTAATGCGCCGTTGATGCCGTTGGCCCTTGGAGGACGGTTCCGCGGGGTTGGTTGAGGATGTAGAACCACAGCGCGATGGAGCCGAGGAACAGTAGCAGGCTGATGTTCTGGGAGATGGTGAGGCCGGTGATCCACACGCCGGGTTCGTCGGTGCGGATCATTTCCAGCAGGAACCGGGTGATGGGGTAGACGGTAGCCAACAGGGCAATCACTTCGCCATCGTGGCGGCGCATGGGTGTGTAGGCGATCAACAGCAGACACAGCAAGAAGGCGGATATGGCGCTGTAGAGTTGGGTGGGTTGCACGGGCAGGCTTTGCTCGGCCGCTTCGATTCGCCAATGGTGAGGTTGGGCCTCGCCGCGAACGGCCACATCGAGTTCGGTACCTTCACCGTAAATGCTGAGCAGTGCAAGCTGCGCTTGATAGGCGCGATCGACGTCGAAATCGTTGATTCGCCAGATCTGATCGCCCGCGGCCAGGCCGGCTGCTTCGGCCGGAGAACCCGGTTCGACTTCGGCCACGATTGCTGGGCCATCGCGAGGTTCTTTGAACTTCAGCCCGTGCAGGTAGAGGTCGCCGTCGCGAACCTGCCGGGCATGCGGGGGGCTACCCTGCGGAAAGCTGACAGCCCAGGGCAGGTCGCACGTCGCGCCGTAACAACAGCCGTTCATGAAGCAGCCTATGCGGCCCAGGGCCAGGCCGATTGCCAGGCTGGGGGCGATGACATCGCAGAGGGCCAGCGACGGAACCTTGTAGTATCGGGTACAGGCGAAGAAGGCGATCGCGCCGCCTATGATGGAACCGTAGAAGACGAGCCCACCTTGGGCGACGTTCAGCAGTTCAGCCAACGTGCCGCCGAGGGTGTCGGCCTGGAACTCGTCCCAGTATTCGATGACGTAAAACAGGCGTGCACCAACAATGCCGGCGATGAACACGACGAAGGCCATGGAAAGAATCAGGTCGGGATCGATCCCCATCCGCTTCGCCCGCCAAACGGCCAAGGCAATTCCCGAGACGGCGGCCAGGAGCATCATGGTGCCGAACCCACGAATCGGCAGACCTTGCGAATCGACCAGATTCGGGGTGGCCCAGGCAATGCCCGCGGCGACGAGAAGCAAAATCGGGAGCCAGCCTTTGGTGTCGGCATTGAAACCTTGCCGGTAGGTGAGGTACGCCAGCAGACCAATGCTGAACACGACCCACACGGCCAGCAGCCAGCCGAATCCAAAGGTTGGTACTCCGCCAACTTCGGCCGGAATGTGAAAGATGGTTCGGAGCATGGAGGCTTAACCAATCTTGTTTGAATTCATGGGGCGACATGACGACTTGCCCCACAGATGTGGAACCCTTTCAGGGTTCATGTTCGTTTCATTCGCTCCCCAGAGTGACGCGGTTACACCGCTTACCCTGAGCTTTGTGTGAGACCCCGTTGGGGTCGCCCTTGATCCGATCGGCACTGCAGGCTCGTTCAGCAGTGGCACCCACTGCCAGTGCATTCTTCTGGGACCTTGAACTCTCTTCCTTGAGAATAGCGGGAATCGCGGGGGCGGACCAAGGTCAGTCGGCGGGGCCGGGTGGGTCGATGAGGCGGTTGTCGATCAAGCGTGTTGAGCCAATATGAGCGGCCACGGCGGCTAGGGTGCGGCCGGAGACTTCTTTGACGGGGGTCAACGTGTTGGGGTCGACCAGGGCGATGTAGTCGATGCTGGCATTGGGCACGTCGTCGAACATGGCCCTCGCTTCGGCCAGAATGCTGGCACTGTTGCGTTGGCCTTGGGCGATCATCGCTTCGACTTTCTGCAAGCTTCGCGGCACCACCAGGGCATGCTGGCGGGCTTGGGTGTCCAGATAGGCATTCCGCGAACTCATCGCCAAGCCGTCGGGTTCACGAACGATGGGGCAAACGCGAACCTCTACCGGCACCATTAGGTCGGTCACCATGCGACGCACGACCAGGGTTTGCTGATAGTCCTTCTGCCCGAAGTACGCGCGATCGGGTGAGACGGTATTGAATAGCTTTAGCACGATGGTGGCCACACCGCGGAAGTGACCGGGGCGGAACTCACCTTCCAGCGGTAAGGCGATTCCTTCCAGGTTGACGAAGGTGCAGTAGTTCTCGGGGTACATGTCGTCGACTTCTGGGGCGAAGATCAAATCGACGCCGCGTTTGGCGAGCGCCTTGGCGTCGGCCTCCAGATCGCGGGGGTATTTTTCGAAGTCTTCACCCGGGGCGAACTGAGTTGGGTTGACGAAGATACTGGCCACGGTGAAATCACATTCGGCTGCGGAAGCATCGACCAGGCTGAGGTGACCCTCGTGCAGTGCACCCATGGTTGGTACCAGCCCGATGGTTTTGCCCGCCCGGCGTTCGAGCGAGACGGCCGCGTGAATATCATCGTGGCCGGTGATGATGCGCGGCGTAACGGGCTCGGGTTCTTGTTGCGAATCTTCAGCCATCGTGCGAACTTTCTGTAGGCAAGACCGTGGTGATTATTTGCAGGCCAAAAGGGCGGCCGTGATTTCAGTAATTTGCTGTTCGAAGTCGTCTGTGTCGAGGACCAACTGGGCCCCCTGCCCTGCGGCTTGCTGTTGTAAGGCGCTTGTGGAATCGCTGGAGGGCTCTTCTTCAATGATCACAATCACACGCGGGCGGGCAACCGTGCGGTGGTGTTCTGCCCAAGACCGCTCGTATTCAGCCAATTGAGATGAATCGAGCGTGGACCGGGCGTGCATTAACAGGGCGTCGAACCAGAAATCGCTGATTGTCTGGCCCGCTGGTAGGTTTTCTGGCCGCAGTTTCTCGGCGGAGGTTGCGAGGGCGGCCATTTGTTCGTCGAAGCCGCAGTGAAGAGGTTGGGTATTGTTTTCATCGGGGCCAAGTGCGAGATGCGTGCAACCGGTGCGTGTGGCGACTTCGGTGGCCAGTTGTGTTCGTACTTGCTGGGAAGGTCCGGCGAGGGCCACGAGGTGGGGCGTGTTGTTGAGGTGGGCGAGAAGTTCGGCGATGGTGAGCCCGATGGTGGGGTGCGGCATCTCGGGGGCGATCTCTGCGGCGGGCTCGAGCACGAACCGGCGGAACGACATCCGGCGGTGTGGCACGATGAGCGTGGCCGCAGCGAGGCTGCTACTCTGCGGCTGGCGGATTTCCGCTTCGCCGTACAGCAGAAGATCTAAGTCCAAGACGCGAGGGCCCCAGTGGATGGTTCGTTCGCGGCCCAGTACTTCTTCGATCGTGTGTAACACTGCCAGCACTTCTGCGGCCGTGAGCGAAGTTTCCAGACGCGCGGCGGCGTTGAGAAACGTCGGCTGGTTGCTTGGCCCCCCCACAGCGGAGGTCTCGGAGTACTGGCTCACCTGGCCTAGCGAGACCTGGGGGTGCTTGTCGAGGGCCTCGACTGCAGCGTGGAGATTCTTCCGGCAGTCGCCGACGTTCGAACCTAGGCCGATTAGGCAATCGGGCATGTGATTGAGTTCGGGGGCAACGCCGCGGGCTTGGTAGTGCAGCCTGGCGCGGTAGTGGTCGCTGTGGATCTCGCTCGCCTGCTGGTAGAAAACGCTCGCAGACTAGCGTGAAATAAAAAAAGGCGGGGCTGCCGTGCCGCGATATGGAAGTCGCCGACTGTCGATCCTCGGTCGTCGCCACAATGAGCCTGGTGGGTCCTGTGAGGCCACTGCCAAGCTAACCGTAAATGCGTCCGAGAAGCCGTCGACGATGGTGAAAACGAATGCCTCACAACGTGCGCACCTTGAGCGCCTGCCCTTGCACATTATTTTCGCGTGCAACGACTCAAACGTTCGTGAGTCTGAGCCCGTGTCGTAAGGTTAAAAACCCAAAAGGGTTGAAGTCACATCATCTAAGCTTCTCAGTAGAGTCCTTATTCTCTGGAGACAGGCTCGATTGTCAAGAATGTTCTTTCAGAGAATCTTTTCGTGACAAAATAACGGCGAACAGGCCTTGCAATTCTGAATGCAAACGTCCCTCCGCGAACGGCGGTGACTGGCGAGTCGAGGTATTCTGCACACCCAAGATAGACAATTCGCAATGAGAAGATTGCGTTAAGAACGAAGCACGATGCCGCCCAGGAGCCTTGCCTCTTCGCCCATCGAAAACGTTGAGCGGAGGGGGCGAATATCACTACTGCGAAGGCCCCCGACGGCTTGGTCAGTCTTCCCAACTTTCCAACTGACGACGGTGTTGGAGGGCTGGCAGCCGCTGGCGAATGGACTTGGCCCGATCGAGATCGATGGCGGCCATGGTTACCCCGGGGCCATCGGCGGCAACCGCTAATGGTATACCCCAGGGATCGATAATCATCGAACGTCCATAGGTGACCAGCTCTGCAGCGAGTCGGCCGTACTGATTGGCGGCCACAACATAAGCCTGATTTTCGATGGCCCGGGCGCGGAGAAGCACCTCCCAATGATCCCGACCGGTGGCCAACGCGAATGCCGAGGGGACAGTGATGATGTCGGCACCTCGATCGGCCAGGCGACGGTAAAGCTCGGGAAAGCGAAGGTCGTAGCAGATGGACATGCCGATGCGGCCGCAGGGAGTTTCGGCCACCTCGATGCGACTGCCCGGCTCGACGAAGTCCGACTCTTTGAAGGTCACCTCACCGGGAAGGTCGACATCGAACAGATGCAGCTTGCGGTAGACGCTCTTCAGATTACCGTCGGGGTCGAACGTGAGGCTGGTGTTGAAGCCCTTCCCGTCGGCGGCGGTCTCCAGAATGCTGCCGGCCACTAGTGTGATGCCCCACCGCTTGGCCCAAGAGTTTGCCAAATCGCTGGTGGGGCCGGGCACCGCTTCGGAGTTGGCCAACATTACCGCGCGAGAGGCCTGGCAATTGAACAACTCGGGCAACACCACCAATTGGGCGCCCTGCTTGGCTGCCAGCTCAACCCAATGGGCCGCCTGATCGAGGTTTTCTTGCTTGTCGGCCGTCGAGGTCATCTGAACGGCTGCTGCTAAGATCGTGGTGCTCATCAACCGCTCAAACTGTTGAACATGCGTTTCGGGAACTGATTGCTAAGCATTGAGGGCCGCCTGGGTGCGGGCGACCAGTTCGTTGTCGCGGGCCCCGGAGCCTCGCAGCAGGTACACGCTGCCGGCCAGGAAGCGGTTCTGCCACTCGGGCGACAGGTGCCGGTAATCCTCAAGCACGGCCGAGCTGTACTTGTAGTCGTGGGCGTTGCTGCCTTTAAGGAAAATCAGCCGTCGGGCTGCCGTGACGAGATCCTGAGCACTCGAAGACTGGTTCAAGAATGCCAACGTCTTGCGGGCGGCCAGGGTCTCGTCGTCGCTGAGGGTGGCGAAGATGTCTTCCACGGCCTCGCGAGGGTCGGCCGCGATATCGGCTGGTTCGAATTCGTCGATGTAGTTATCGGCGAACCGGCTACCGCGACTCTTGCCGGCATCGCGGAACAGAGGAACGAAGGCCACGGCTTGCAGCAACAGCATCCGTCGGGTGTTGTCGTTCGAGGTGGTATTGTAGGCATGGTACAAGGCATTGGCCGAAGTGACCGCATGCAGCGAAACAATGCCGGGCGAACGCGCGACGAGTTCGGCGGCACCGTTAAAGACGGCGTCCCACAGCGATTGCGGTGAGATACCTCGACCGAGCATCTCCACGGCGTGATTGCAAGCCGCGCCGGTGTCGGCGGTTCTTAAGTTGGCCAGCATCTCACGCGTGGCGGCATCGTCGACCGCACCATCGAGCCAGTTAGCTGGAATGCTGTTGGCTAGCTCGATGTTTTCGCGCCAGGGGCGGTCGGGTTCGGTGTCGTGCGTGGCTGGGTTCTCGCCGTCGTAGTTTAGGAGCGCGTAAGCGAGCGATCGCAGGACGGGCTCGGCGTGTTGCCAACCAATGCACTCGAGTGTTCGACGGCTGTTGGCGACGAAGATGGCCTTGTGCCCGATGGAACGGAAGTCGCGGGCGCCATAGCGATAGAACAGCTCATAGACATCTTCACTACTGGCCGAACGGGCAAGTGCGGCCACGGCGACGTCGGCCTTGGCTTCGTCCCAGTTGTCCATGGCCTCGATGAACATCGCCCTGGCTTTGCTGGGCTTGGGCACGGCGGCCTCATCCACGGGGGCCATCGTCCAGCCACGTTCGCTTTCGTCTTTGGCCTGGGCTTCTTTGAAATAGTCGAGCGCCCAAAAGATGGGCAGCCAGCGGTCTTCATCGGGCGAATCCAAGCTGGCCAGGTGGGCTGAATTGACTACCAGCACCGTGTGAAACTTGAAGCCAACGCTGGGGCGGGGTTCGACGTTCCGCACGCCGGCCAACAGTAAGGCGGCCAGCACTTCACGGTAGCTCACGCCGTCGTGAATGCGGGCGGCCACCGCTTCGAGCAGTTGCTCGCGCGGGGTGACTTCCAGCAGTTTGACAAGCGGCTCGATCTCTGGGTTGAGCTGTACGACGCCCGGGTTCAGTTTGGCATCGGCCGCCGAAACCTGCCCCAAGCGGTTGAACATGCCGAGTTGTCCCGCACCGATCACCCCACCGATCCCGGCCGCGGTGCCCATGAATTGACGCCGTGAACTTCGCCCGAACATGACGATCTCCCTTGGCGATAGAGTGCTGCGGTCGATACTTCGGCCCGCCGCAAGTAATGGTCTGATCTCCTACAGGCACTATCGCGCGCCGACCGACTGGAAGCAAGAATCGGGCGACAGTTGCGGGAATGGTGACGGCGACTCTTTGCTAAACAGAACGCGAAAGCTGTTTGATCGAGTTTGGTCCGCTACAGCTTGCGGCGGCCGTGCCAGGCGAGGAAGGTGGGCTTCTTTTTGGGATGGGATGGATCGTGGAGCGGCGTGACCTGGACGTGGTCGCAATGTCTCCATAGCCACCGGCATACTTCTTCGGGGTGGAACCATCTCTCCCAGGGGGCATGCTCGGAGAGCGGTTGTAGCTGGGCGTTCTTGTCGATGATGAGGAGGTGCCCGCCGGGGCGAACCACGCGGCACAGTTCGGCGATGGCGGTTTGGGGTACCAGCGCATGTTCGAGCGACTCGACGGCAAAGGCGGCATCGAACTCGGCGTCTGCTGCCGGAAGATGCAAGAGGCCGCCGGTACGGTGCTCGACGCGAGGGGAAAGTTGATGGCTGCACTCGAGGGCGGGGTCGATGCCGATCAAATTCCGCGATTCATCCTGGTTTGCTAAAAGCCGCAGAAAGCGTCCGCTGCCACAGCCGATGTCGGCCACGCGATCGCAGCCGTCGAGCGTGGCGAACCACGTGGTGACCGCCTGGGCTCTGGGGTCGTTGGCGTCGATGTCGGCATACACCGGGTCGGCACCAGTGGCGAAGGTGAGCGTGACTTGGAGTTGAGCCGCTTCCAGGAACGACAGCACAGTGGTTAGCTGTTGGATGCGGTGCGAGGCGGTGGTTGCTTGATCGAGGTTGAAGCTGCCGTCTGCAAGTTGGTGGTGTCGGAGTTGCTGCATCAACGTGTCGCCGGTGGTTCGATCGCCCTGGTGGTAGGCATGTAGGGCTTGGGATGCGGGGTCTTGTGTGTCGAACTGCGACAATTCTTCGCTGGGCCGAAGTCTTGCGGACCAGGCTTCGGCATAGGAGTTCTGGCCGTAAGATTCCAGAACGCTGATTGCGCGGCGGACCAGTTGGTTTCTGAGACTGATGCGAGGGGCACTGCTGGGCAAGCCAGCAGTGGCACCCACGTGGGAGTTCAACGGAGTAGTAATATCGCCCTGACCGCTCTCGGCCAGGATTTGCTCGCCGTGGTTGAGCAGCCAGTGGAGTGAGCGTTCGGCGTGGTCGTGGCGAGCGGGTCCTTGGATGCGGCCAGACCAGTAGTTGGTGCGGCGGCGAAGTGCGCTGGCGAAGCGTGCGAACACCGTCGGCCGGGGGAACTCTTCGTGCGATGCCTTGGCCGATGGCATCGTGACTGTTTGCTGTGGGGTGGCGGTTGCCATGGGTCGTCCGTGAGAATTGCGTGCATCCGAGCGGCGGCATTATCCCGGGAAGGCGGCGGGCAACCAATGGCAATTTGCCGGGCAAGGGGTACATTGCACGCAGCCAGTGCAACATCGGGAATCGATCCGCTAGACGCGAAGAAATATCATGAGCGAACACATTCAGGTCGCGACTACCACGGGAAACAAGGACGATGCCCAGCGGATTGCGGCGGCACTGGTCGAGCGGCGGCTGGCGGCATGCGTTCAGTTGCATGGCCCGATTGCCAGCACGTACCGCTGGCAGGGTGAAGTGCAGTGCGACGACGAGTGGTTCCTGGTCGCCAAGACACGTCGCGACCGCTATGCCGCCGTGCAAGACGCCATCCTCGAGCTACATCCCTACGACGAGCCCGAGATCATCGCCACGCCGATTGTCGAGGGCAGCCCTGGGTATCTTCGCTGGGTGGATGAGCAGGTTGGCGAGTGATGAACGCTCTTAAGTTTGCCAAATGCCAGATGGGGGCGTTGGTCCCACGACTTGGCAAACATTAGCGGCTCATCGCAGGGTTAGAAAGCCGTATATTAACGTGGTCAAAATAACCACGACTGCAGCCCAGATCCGTGTGCGATCAGAAGCCTTAGACAGGTACAAGCAGCCGGCCCCGAGGGCTGTGTTCTTGGCTATGTTCAGAATCGTGATTGGATTGTCGACGCGGCGCCAACTTTCATTTTCTAGTTCGAACACTGGAACGATGATGAGCAGCCCGGTAGCGATTGCGGACAGCAGCAGAAGTAGTGAGCCGTAGATCAATAAAGTCCACGTTACGAATGTGCGAAAGACTTGCTGATTCGTCAGGCTACGAGTGTCGCTTGCCATCGGTGCCCCTCCAAGACGAAGCATGGTTGCCGCGTACTCAGTCTAGGAACTCTAAAACCTAAAGACAAATCTAAAGAATCTTTTAACATCGGGTGGTCTGGGCACGTGTTGGCTGGACCACCCGGTTGAGTTGTAACTACGATGGAGGTTTCGCCGGCCGTTGAACGTTCACTTGTTGGTAGTTGCCGCTCATGATGATTTGGGATCTGCATTGTCATCTGGGGGCGGTGGATGGGGCGACGCCGCATGTGCGGATGGCCGCGTTGATGCGGATGGCCGATCGCGTGGGTGTCGAACGGGTCGTCATCTTCATGGGCTGGCCGCATCAGGTCGATCCCACGCCCGAGGAGTTACGGCGGCAGAACGATCAAGTGCTCGAGGCGATCAGCCATTGGCACGATCGTGCATTCGGGTTCGTGTACCTCACCCCGAATCATGTCGAGGCCAGCCTGGAGGAACTAAAGCGGTGCGTCGAGCATGGCCCCATGGTTGGTGTGAAGTTGTGGGTCGCTCGACGGGGTAGCGATGCGGCAGTTGATCCGCTCGTCGCAGAGGCCACTCGACTTAATGCAGTCGTCTATCAACACACGTGGCTGAAGACCACGGGCAACCTGGCCGGAGAGTCGACCCCGGAGGACTTGGTGGCGCTGGCGAAACGGCATCCCGAGGCCACTCTCATCTGTGGGCACAGCGGCGGCGCCTGGGAGTTGGGCATTCGAGCGATCCGCCCTCAGAAGAATATTTGGCTGGGCATCGGGGGCTTCGACCCCACGGCCGGAGTGGCGGAGATGGCCGTGCGGGAGTTGGGGGCCGAGCGGGTGATTTTCGGAAGCGATGCCGCGGGACGCAGTTTTGCTTCGCAGATGGCCAAGGTGCATGGAGCGAAGATTTCGCCCCAGGATAAAGATCGCATCTTCGGCGGCAACTTGAAGCGGCTGCTCATGCCGATTCTGCAGGCGAAGGGAGTACGGGCATGAGCATCGACTGCAACGTGATGCTCTCGCGGTGGCCGTTCCGTCGGGTGCCGAACGATTCGGTGTCCAAGTTGGCCGAAGAACTGAACCGTCACGGCATCGACGAGGCTTGGGCCGGCAGCTTCGATGCGCTACTGCATCGTGATATGGCGGGCGTGAACCTTCGCCTGGTCGAGCAATGCCGAAGCGTGGAAGACCTGCGGCTGCTTCCTTTCGGCACGGTGCACCCGGGGTTGCCCGATTGGGAGGAGGACCTACGGCGTTGTGCCGAAGAGCACAACATGCGGGGCATCCGTCTGTTCCCCAACTACCACCAATACACGCTCGACGACCCGCGGTTCGCACAACTGCTGGCCGATGCTGCCCGGCGGGGGCTGTTGGTGCAGGTGGTCGTGAAGATGGAGGACGAACGCACACAGCATCCCCTGCTTCGCGTGCCGGCGGTTGATCTCGAACCGTTGGGTGAACTGGTCGAGGGCATGCCCGAGCTGCGGGTGATGGTGCTCAACGGGCTCCGCGGCGATGTGCGGCCCGAGTTGATTGAACGACTGACCACAACCGGTCGCGTGCAGTTCGACCTGGCGATGCTCGAAGGCGCCGCCGGGGTGCGGAGGTGGATCGACCGTTTCGGCAAAGACCACCTCACGCTAGGCACCTTCAGCCCGTTGTTTTACACCGAAGCGAGCCTGCTCAAGCTCGAAGAATCGGAGCTAGGCCAAGTCGAACGCCGGGCCGTGCTGGGCGAAAACGCCAAGCGGCTGTTGGGGTGAGGTTCTCTTACCTCTTTACTTCCGCCCCGTTCTAAAGAAGGGCTTCTTGACACAAGTGAATTTGAGGAGAAGCCACCCGACGGGTCGCATCATGACGATCTAGGTGGCCGATCCTGAGGCGATTTTTCAGCCAGTCGGATGAGCATCATCTGCGTGACAAATGGCATGTGCAGAGTAGACGTTGCCGGCTCCGACTCAAGAACCACGACGCCAAAACGTACGATTTGCATTGGCTGTCTCTGTCGGGTAGCCTCGGCGGTGTTTCGAAAGAATCTGAATTCATTCGGCTGTGTGCTTGATGTCTTATTGAGAGGGCAGGATCGCTAATGACTGTTAACACTCGCTTTGCATGCTGCTGCAATCCACCTTTTATCGCCGTGTTTGTGATTGCTTGGTGCGGCATTGCATCATGCCCGGCTGCCCAGGCTGCACCCATCAACCTGTCCTTCACAGGAGAAATTGAAACCCTCAACCCAGCCATATACGGAACGACTGTTGGCGAATCGTTCACACTGAGTTACGAGTACGACACGGTATCGGCCGTAGGGAGTGATGTAGACGACTCCACGCGCGCTTATGTGATGTCGGCTCAAATCAGCAGTGACATGGGATTCAGCGTGGATGTGTCGTCGCTGATTGGTTCCGGGTCTCCGGACATCGACTTCGAACTAACGAATGCACAAACAGGCGATTTTGAGGTCTATATTCAAAATGACGTCGACCTAGGCAACTCAGTGGTTGCCGATGTGCTCGGCATCCGTTTTCTAGCGGATCGGAATTCAACAGGCCTAAATCTTGCGACGGTGGACTTAGGTCTAGTGGATACAACTGCCAGTATTTTCTCCGATCGATCGTTGCCCTCGACGCTCGACCTGAATGACTTTGACCAAGCTTGGTTCTCGATCGTTCTGAATTTGTATGCTCCACCACCTGGCGGTTATACCGCGACAATCGTCGAAGGGGAGATTACAGCTCTCGTGCCCGAGCCCTCGGGTATTTGGCTGGCAGTGGCGGGTGGTATCGTCCTGTTTTGCGCTGCGTGTCGCCGCGGGCAGGCGCAGCGTAAAGTCCTCGATTAGTCGCCAGCAGTTCTAGCCTGCGTGACTGAGCGATCCCGAAGCACTCACTCTCGAGTTCACCTGCCCCATTCGATAGTTTGCCAAACCACCCAGGCCCGGCCCCAGTTTGGCAGTTGGCAAACTCTTGAGTTCCTGCCGAGAGCTGACCACAACTTGACGGAGCCTTGGCTGGTTCTGATATACTTTGTGTTGCAAAGCTGCTGGGTACTTCACGGGTTTGGGAGAGTGGGCGGCGTGGAACTGCATGAAGCGTTGAGTCAGATCTCGGAGATTCGAGGGCAGATTGCTCGAACGGAAACGTTTCGGGGATATCGCTCGGCGACGGTGGCGGGCACCGCAGCGGTGGCCTGTTTGGCTGCGGTGGTGCAGGCCGTGTGGATTGAGAGCCCGGCGGAGCAGTTGGCCCAGTATCTCACTGTGTGGCTGGGGGCGGCCGCGGTGTGTGTGGTGGCCACGGCCGTGGAGATGATCGTTCGGTGTCGCAAGGCGGTGTCGCCTTTGGCGGTGAGCATCACGTGGCTGGCCGTCGAACAGTTCGGCCCTTGCTTGTTGGCTGGGGCGGCGGTTACCGGGGCCATCGTGATGTTCGTTCCGCAAGGGGTGGTGCTGTTGCCCGGCTTGTGGTCGGTGCTGTTCAGCCTGGGCGTGTTTGCTTCGTGCCGGTTGCTGCCGAAACAGATCTTCACCGTGGGGGTGTACTATCTGCTCGCGGGCATGGTGTGCCTGGCGTGGGCCAACGGCCCGGGGGCGCTTTCGCCGTGGGCGATGGTCGGCACCTTCGGTGTGGGGCAATTGGCGATGGCCGCCATTCTGTATTGGACGTTGGAGCGGAATCATGCCGGAGAGTAAACGCGGCGGACAAGACGATGCGGGCCGCTATGCGTATGAAGGCCTCGACCGAGTGCTGCACGAAAAGGCCCGACTGGGAATCATGACCTCGCTGGTCTCCCACGCCGACGGGCTGGTGTTCGCCGACCTGAAGGAACTTTGCTTGCTCACCGACGGCAATCTCAGCCGGCACTTGAAGGTGCTCGAAGAGGCCGAGCTGATCACCATCGACAAGGATCAACACGCCAACCGCCCTCGAACCGTCTGCCGCTTAACCCCCGGCGGACGGAAACGCTTTCTGGAATATGTCGACGTACTGGAGTCGATTGTCAGCGACGCCGCGAAGGCGGCTCGGAAGAGCGAGGCGGCGGTGAGGCGAAAGCCCACGACGGGGTTTTCGCCGGCTTGAGGGGAGCGACAGGGCAGGCGTCACGTGGAAGACTTACCTGCAATTTCCCGTATGACCTACGTTGCTGCGAAGGTTAACAGCACAGGATGAGTAAGGTTTCTCTTACGGCATCTTGTTCGCTTTGCGAACCCAGCCGGTGCGGCTGGGCCACCCCAAGGGATGATGCGTCACTTCCGCAATCCATCACCGTTTTCGCGGACGTCGACTTCTTCGATGTGGGTGGGGCCGGTGAAGTGGACTCCGCCGGGGCGGCGGTCGGGTGAGAGATAGGGGCCGGCGATGCGGGCGGCGGTGCCCTGCCCTGTGCTCAGCGGGTCGTCGATATCGACCGGGTGTTTACTGCCGGCGGGCTCGTTGACCATGTGCACCGTGCGGGTGGGGAAGGCGAACGAGCAGCCGAGCCCGTCGGCCAGCCGCATGATGTCGAGCATCAGTCGGTGTCGCTCGCGGAGTTCGATGCTCCAGTCGGGGCATTCGAGGAATGCGTACAGCAAAATGTCGATCGAGCTGGCGTTGAACTCGTTTAGGTAGACGTGGTAATAATCCTTGCGGGTGTAAGGATGCCGGCGGATGATTTCGCGGATGCCCTCGCAGAAGGCATCGACCTGCTCGGGCCGGGTGTCGTACTGCAGGCCGATCATCTGCTTTACCCTCCGGTAGCGGCGGCGGCCCATGTTATCGACCGTGGCCGTGGTGAGCAGGCTGTTGGGTAGCGTGATCAGCGAGTTGTAGAACGTGCGGATCCGCGTGCTGCGGAAGCCGACCGTTTCGACCGTGCCTTCGACGTCATTGGTAACGATCCAATCGCCGATTTCAAACGGGCGATCGACCAACACGGTGAGCGAACCGAAGACGTTGCTGATGGTGTCTTTCGAGGCCAACGCCAACGCGGCGCCGCCAATGCCCAGGCCGCCGAGCAGCCCGGTGATGGGGAGATTGAAGGCTTCGGCGCAGGCCAGGGCGCCAATCACCACGGCCAGCACCTTCAGCGAGCGGGTGACCAGCGGGATGAGCAGGTCATCGAACTTGGTGCTGGTGTGGCTGGCCTTCTCGGCCAGTTCGAGCGCGATGAGATCGATGATGCGGTAGGCCGACCAGACGGCCGCCACGGCGGCGAAGAACTTCAGCCCCAGCAACAAGACCGACAAGGCGAAGTCGGGCAACCCAATGACGGTGGTGCCGGCGTACCACACCAGGGCTTGCACCAGCAGGCCCATCGGGCGGAACACTCCGTGCTGGGCCTCGTACTGTTCGTGACCACGAAACACACGGAACCACGTGGCCGCGATGCGGTGCAGCAGGAAGCGTGAAGTAACGTCGGCCACGAAGCCGAGGAAGATGAGAATCAGCAGGCAGATCCACTGATAGTCTTTGATGAGGAAGGTGGTACCCTGCAGCTTCTGCGGGAACAAGTCGCGGAGCCGATCGGAAAAGAGCTTCGGCGATTCGGCGGCGAGGCGCTTTGAGCGAAACGGTTTGTCGTACCACTGGTCGTGCATCCCTTCGACGGCGGTCACCGTTTCGGGGCTGAACTGCCACAGACCTTCTTTGTTGCGGATAAGTTTGATCTTCGTCGCGGTTAGCAAACCGGCAGACGACATATCGAGGATGGCGTTGGCATCTGCTCCCAGGATGTACGGCGACGGTGTGTCAGGGTCGCTCGGCAGGGCCTTGGGGTTGATGTCCCAGATTTTGGCCAACACTTCACACAGGTGTTGCGCGATGTGGGGCCCCTTGGTGCCGACGATGTTGGGATCGACCTCGGAGAGATCGAGGCACATAGCCGCTTCGGCAGGTTTGCCTTCGTCGACCAGGTCGATCAAGGTATTCATCGTCGCTTGCGGGCTGGCCAGCATGCGGGCCCGACGGTTCTTCTGCACCTGGGTCGAAGTGCCAAAGTTGTTGGAGCTGGTGCCCTGCCGCGGATCGGTGGGTGGCGCGGACGCCCCTTCGGGGCTTTCGGCCGATGCCGGGGGCTGGCTGGCTTCGATGTCGGCTTTGCCGTCTTGAGCCACCGCCAAGGGGGACCAAGCCAGGCAGATGAGTGCGGCCAACGCCAGGCCGGTTGTGGCCCAAGGGCAAGATCTACGCATCCGCTGCGGGTTCACGAGAAGGGCTCCTTCCAATCTTGTGGCATATTCGCGGGCATTCTTGCAAACATTCGCCACGGGGAAAAGGGAAAGTGCGGCCAGCGACCGCAGACCGGGGAGACGACCTCCAGAATGGCTAAAACCGGCTTGAATTTGGCACCGCTGGTCGCAACGCGGTATTTTGATGGACGAGCGTCCGCTGGTTTTTGCGACCGGGGGATGCTTCTCGCCCTTGCTGTGCTCCTCCCACTGGAGTTCGTCCCATGCAATTGCCCAGCGTACAACGCTGCCCTGGTCCGCCGAGCCGGCGAGAGTTTCTACGGTTGGGTTCGCTGGCGTTGGGGGCGGCCAGTTTCCCGCACTGCCTGGCGGCCAGTGAAGCCGCGGCCAAGGCGGATGCCGACACGTCGGTCATCTTATTCTACATGTGGGGCGGGCCTTCGCAGTTGGAGACGTACGATCTCAAGCCGGAGGCTCCCGTCGAATACCGCAGCTTGTTCCGGCCCATCGCCACCAACGTGCCGGGGATGGACATCTGCGAGTTGTTTCCGCGCCAGGCGAAGGTGGCCGACAAGTTTTCGCTAGTGCGATCGC